CTTAAATTAGTTATAATGTTTTGTTTTGTTTACATTAGACCCATACATAAGAAAAAATGGGAAACAATACAAACCAGGTTACAAAGCTAATGCCAAGTTATGTGCTCCATGAAGAAGGTATTAGCATTAAAGAGAGATAAGACACCACAGTGATGGGGATAATCAGGGAGGACTTCCTGGGGGAACACTAAAGCTGAAGTACATTCATGACAGAAGGAATTCTAGAATCTGAGGTCAGGATGGAATCTAAAGTTTGGCTTCCGTTGCTTGCAACTAAGAATGCTAATACAAGTCTTTTTTTTTGCTTATAATTTTGCTTCTAGGTGATTATGCAGCCTATGTTTAATACTGCCAGTGGTGGGGAAATCACTACCTGTATTTCTATATCTAGAGGGAAGGGGAGAAGCAGGGAGGAATAATTACAAGACAGAGGAACAGCACGAATCAAGCAGGGTAGAGCAAGAAGGTTGAAGTTACAAAGAGGAGTTTGTGTTGGTAGCTAGGTTGTGTGTAAAGGGACGAAAACCAATGGGGTGGGCTCTTTGGGGAAAGATTGGAAAGAACAATATAGAGATTATGCTGAGTATCTTTCATGAGAAAAGTACAGGATACCCACACATAAAAAGCTTTGCCTAGAATTTCAGGCAGTCACGCAGTGGGGCTGTGTGTGGATCTCAGGTTAAGGACCTTTTAACTCAGTGGTCCCTAAAGGTCTCTCTAGCTCTGAAAACTTTTTCTGTGCAGGTTCTTCTGACTGAGCCCAATTGTTCCCCAAACATATGTCCTCTGCCCAGAGTGACATTCTTCACAATCCATCTCTGCGGGTTATAATTCTACCTGTACATCAAGGAGTAGCTCGAATGTCCTTTCCTTCCAAAAGCCTCACTGCACCTGTTCCACGGCTCTCTCATGCACTTGTTTGTGTGCTCTGCGTGTGCTTCCTCATGGGTGAAGGGTTACACAGCTCTGTCTCCTTCCTCCTCACCTTGTCCCACCCTATGTGGCACCCAGTAGGCTGTGGCAGAGACTGCAAATTGCCTAACTGAACTTTCATTCTTCCCTCTTCCTTAGTGACGGAATCCTGATATTTTGGGGGACAGCAATGTGCTGGGGTAACAGGCTACTTACCCAGCTCCCTTGCATCTAGGGGTGGCCAGTGATACATAAGGGGAAATTGCTGATAGGGGCTTCCAGGAAAACTTTTAATAGGGGGATGACTCAGCTGGGAGCAGGACTCCCCTTTTTTTTGTCCTCCTTTTTCCTGCCTGGAATACAAACATGATGGTTGAATCCCAGCAGCCATCATATTACCTTGGGGAAAAAAATGGAAGAAAGCTTGATCTCTGATGAATTTATGGAGCCCCCATACCAGCCTTGATCAACTACTTCCATACTTTTCCACATAACAGAATAAACAATAAATCTGTTTAAGCCACTGCCGTTCAGATTTTGCCTCTAGCAGCAGAATGCAATTTCTCACCAATACATAGGTCACTAATTAAGGTTTGTTATATTGAATTTAATTAAAGTAATTTACTCTTAAAGATAATGTGAAGCCCCAGCTTCAGTTCTGGAGGTGGGAAATGAGACTCTGCTGAGAAAGTTTCCCTGGGTTTTCTAGACTCTTGATAGAAAGGTTGTTTTGACAGCTTCCTCTTGAATATTCTTAAAGGAAGGAGAAAACGTAAAATTGTTGACTCCTTAAATTTTTATTGCGTGTTTCTCAAGGTATGAGCAGGTTCATTTGCTTTGGAATCATCTGGAGATTGTTGGTTAATACACAGTTTCCCTGGAGTCCTCTCTCTTTTCCCCATCTACTGAATCAGGACCTGGAGGATTGAGTGAGAGGAATCCCCACAAACACTGCTCCAAAGGTGGCGGTGGGTCATGTCACCAGGGAATCGAATTGCTACATTGACTGCATCAGATTGTGTTGAATTGAATTAAGGGGTAAGTCCCTGGAAAGGAGAATTGGATCTGAGTAATGCTAATCAGCAAGAAGCCATCCCTGCCTGTTTTCCCAGGAGAACTGTGGCTTGGGATTTGGGGCTGCCTTGGGAAAAGCGGCAAGATTCACTTTATCACTTTCTTTACCAAGTGTCTATTCGTGTTAGTCGTCATCGGTTAGTGCTTTCTCTGCTCAGTGAGGTTCAGATGGAGGTCCTCAAGGAGCTTGTATGTGGCTTGGGATTTGGGGCTGCCTTGGGAAAAGCGGCAAGATTCACTTTATCACTTTCTTTATCAAGTGTCTATTCGTGTTAGTCGTCATCGGTTAGTGCTTTCTCTGCTCAGTGAGGTTCAGATGGAGGTCCTCAAGGAGCTTGTACGGTAATGAGAGAAGGAGGGGCACAGAC